CGTATAGCCGCCACGTGGTTTAGAGTTGACGGTTCAGTAGGCCTGCCCTTTCTGCTCCTGGGACCCCATTTCTAAAAGTTGTCAGAAGCCACCTTACCACCTAGTGCTCGAAAAAAACTTTACGGAGAAGTGTTTAGCTTGATTGCTAACAAGACACTAAGAGGCAATGGGTTCCTTGAAGTGCTTGGCTTCACATTTTCATGTTCATTGGGCCTTGACTTTCCTTTGGATTTGTGTTCCTTTAGGCATGTTGAGGTCAAAAGGACCATATGTTAATATGGTCTAAAAAGTTGATCTACCTCGCATTATTGTTGCTAATTATATGAGGATTTATAGAAAGTTAGACAGGCTTATTATGGATTCATTGACAATTGAGCAAAAGAAACGACCTAATTTCATGAGAAAAGAAAGTGGACAATGATTCATTGACCACTTGGTTTATGACTTGTGAGAGAGAATCTAATCATCAACAAGAAGGTTCTCTTAGAAAAATGCATGTGAAAGGAAACAGAAACTGTCTGAAACCCAATCAAAATGGCAAAAACGTACAAGCATGAAAGATTATGTGAGATAGAGAAATAGGTAGCAGACAAGAATGTGAAAACTCCCAATCATTTTAGACCTTGACAAAATTCAATATCAATATCACTACTACATGTTCTAGTCTAATACCGCGTCTAATTTGACAAAAACCTCCGGAAAGTTGTAGGTTAAACGTGTAAATTGTAGTTGATATAAACTTAGATAAGTTGGTTAAAGCAATGTTTTTTACTTTGAACTTAAGTTTGAATTTTTTTTGTCAATATTTTAAATGAATTTAATGTAGATTATCGTGTGTGTGTGTGTATATATATATAGATCAGTTATACTTATAGTTTAATATGATTGTGTTAAAAACTATCACAAAATTCTGTTTTGCTCTACGATTTAAGTAATAATTATGTGTCTTTCTTGAGCAATTTTTTTCAACTCAACTTTGATTTACCTGTACTATTTTATTGGTCAATTTCCTTCTACTTTTCATAAAATGAGATTCTAGCAAAATTAAAGCAACCAGAAACAATGATTGAGTGGTGTTGGTCTTAATCGCGGTCCACAAGTACACCAAAAGAGGCGTGTCCATGTGAACTGAAGAAATCATGCATTCGTCGGTTTCATACCCTAAACCTACCAAACTAGCCCCCGGCGGGAAATGATCATCACCGTTGATTATCCCGTTCCCAGGCATCGGACGGCCATGATTACTAAAGCTCGAAGTTTTGCTTAGTTAAGTGGCAATGATTAGGGTTGGATTTCGTTTTTATAAACTATTATAAAAATAAAATTCGTTTTTATAAACTATTATAAAAATAAAATGGGTCTGCATCATTACAATTCTTTTTTACGGATTATGTGATTGATCAGTTTATAATATTTACCAAGTAGCATATTTTGTTGCACCGGTCTTGTAGTAGACTAGTAACGAGTGAAAAAATAAAGTAGAATCAAATAACAAAAATTAACATGCGTGTGAAAAAAATGACTGACATAAATGATTTCCTAATAATAACTGATGACTTAGTAAATAAAATCGATAGATAATTTGTCATAATTTCAGTTGACAGTCACAGCTCGTCTATATATCAAACAAGAAATAATTAAAAGCCAAAAACTTCATTCAACCTCGCATGCACGACGAACAGAAAAGTCTCACACACATATATGATAATATTTGGTATTACAAATTCCCAAAAAATCAAGTGGAGGAAGAAAATACATATATATTTTGGTCAACAGAAATTTGATAAGTAAGCTTAATTACTTAATATTTAGGGAGACTGTAGAGACTTGTGATCACTATTACTGGGTGAACTCAGCGGAAACAGGGGTAGCAACTCGGGCGGCCCGGCCCCTCTGGGAGTACTGAGCGGCGAAGGGTGCAAATAAAACCCCTTCTCCGCAATTGCCTTCTCCTCCTCGGCCACCGCTGCTGGAGACGACGGCGACTCGGAACCAGAACTCGGGAATGAAAACGACTCGAACCCGAGTGGGGTGACGGGACTCGGAATCGGCTGAGAGCCATGTAGGGTTGCGAGACTGAGCTTAATCTCGAGTTTGCTCATGGTGTGTCTTCGCTCTTGCAGCTTGAACGGTGACCGGCGAGGGCCGGTGGGGTCACCTGGACTTGTGGGTGCTTTAGGGTAGTGCCTTGCTGGGTGTGTGACGGGGAGCTTTTCCGAGTCGCCGGATAAGCCTGTCAGCTTCTGGACGAGGTCTCTGAAGTTGTTTGTGTCTGCCTGAACAAAGGTCGTGGGTGGCGATGTTGGCGAGCAGAGGTTGCTGTTGCTTTGTTGTGAGTGATGATGTCTTTCCATTTTTAGGGAGAGAGAGAGAGAGAGAGAGAGAGAGAGAGAGAGAGAGAGAGAGATTAGTAAAGAGAAGTAATGTAATTCATGGGTTTTGCTTTGTTGGGAGTTTGGGAGAGAGGGGAGGAGTGTGTGATATGGATGGAGAGAGTAGAGTTTAAAAGAGGAGGATCTTTATAATGGTGACTTTGGCTTTGGGGTGTAGGGGACTTTTCATACTACTATTGGCCTATTGGGTGAATGTCGTTAATTATGGGGATAGTTTAACCATTTCGTACATATTATTTTATATTATAATTTTCGCACTCTTTTCTCATTAACCATTCAATCCAAATACAAAAATCGGGAAGTGGCCTTTTACTACAGTTGTGGAAATGAGTTGAGTTTTTGCATGACGACGTGGGTTCGAACTTTGTCGGTGACTAATCTAATCTAATCTAAAATCTATCATTTGACAAAAAAAAAAAATAATAATAATAATAAATAAAAAAAAAAACGAAAAACCGAAAAAAGATGTGCAAAAGTGACTTCCTAAAAAAAAATTGTGAAAACCCTAGACCTTGTTATTTGTACTATCTTTTTACGTCTCACATTTGTTAGAATGATAATGCATCGGATCGGATCATCATTTGAAGGAAAAACTTGTATGCAACGTGTTCTAAACTCTCTAATTCTTACCTCAAGCATAATTTACTGTGTGAGACCAAGGAGCTAGGAATGAAAGAAAGGACAATGTTAGGAAGATTAAAATTTTAAATCAAATTTTCAAATTAAATGATGTATCATCAATAGAAAATAAGCATATTAATCAATACTTAAATAATAATTCAATCATCAACATCTACATTATTTGGTTTACAAAAATTTAGTTTAAAATTTTGATACCGCTAATGTTATCCGAAAGAAAAAGTAAATTGACTTGGAACTTATTGCAATATTGACACAGGATTCATTGGCTGAGTCATGGTGTGGTAAAACTTTAGGTTACTAAATTATGGGTTTTGCCTGGATTGCCTTTATGTTCACACCGCTGGTTTGGAATATTCAATCAAACGCGCATACACACAAAAGAAAGGAAATAAATAAAAGGGAGGTTGGAGCCAAGGAGGACAGCAGACACAGTAGGTTAGACTTATCTCTTGCTATGACAATGAAACTACATTGATGTCAAAGTCTTGAAAATTGCTTACCACCATTTACATCCTAAATATCAATTAGCCTTACAAAGGATGTGGTCTTTGTAATTTCAGTAGGTGGGACGACTTGCTTTACACAACTTTTGACGCATATTTATGTTGAGTTCACTTTGTAATATATTTTAATGATTCAAATCGTCCATTTTTTAAAACATCATTCATGCATCATCCTTGTAAAATTAGACAAATCCAAAATCATAAAAACATTTATTTCTAGTGAAGAAATAGATGAATACGGTTCTACAAAGAAACCATCAACCCTTACTAATCCAACAATTATATGGTTTATGGTTTTAGATTTGGTAGACATAATTTTTTAGAGAATACCTAAAAGATAGATCATTCGGATAGTTGAAATACATTACGAAATGGCTCCAACAAAAGACATGCATTAAAAATTGTGTAGACAAATGGTGTCACATATCCATCCATATATATACACATAGCATTTAAGGACTTTGGCATATCCTCTTACACAGGATGCACATTATAAGCATTTTCTTGGTACTTCTCCATCTTAATCTTCAATGTCAATGACATCACAAATAGAGATAAATACCAATATGTGTCGTCTAAAGTTTTAAATGAGGCCAACGACGCAATTCGTAAGGTTGGATTCCAAATTATATTGATAATTTTGTTTGATTAGACAAGGGAACGCGAATCATATTCTTTCTCAACGTACGCATGAAATGGTTCCCAAAAAACGGCACAGAAAATAAGTAAAACATATTATTGTGTTTGCCGATACACACATAATTAATTTGTTTTTGTTTATTGGCTAGTATTAGGCAACAACTTTGAAGCCAAAAGAAAAAAAAAGTGGAAAAATATAATCCAAGTTCAAATATTTATTCAAGAAAACCCTCATTCCTGTCATACAAGTGTTATTGATCCTTTCATACGAATGATATTCAACGCAATAGCAAACGCTCTTAATCACTTTGTAATTAGATATTTAATATAATTACTATCAGAAAGAAGAAGATTGAGATCAATAAAGAAACCATAGATATAACAATTGAAAAGAGAACATGTTAATGAGTTAAGATTATAACAGTTTCATAGTACAATTATCTCCGATCTAGTCAATAAAAACACATTAATTAATATATCGATAATATTTGATATTAAAAAAAATTAATTGCAGCATGATTTGAAAAAAGAAAAAAATATATATATGAGACTGACTACGATACATGTATTTATTGATATATATATTATTAAATAATCGATGTACTAAGTAAATACATGTGCCGTAATCAAATCAAGTTCGAAAACGTAAATTTGATTACGACCCATTCTAAATACGGGTTCAAAGTCCACGGACCAATTCAAGAAAGTGGGCTGCACACCTTGTTTCATAAAAAAAAGGAGGGAAAATTTTGGTTAGTTTTGGTCCACAATAAAACGGTTAAAAACACCGCCACGTAAACAAAAACAAAAACAAAATTCTCTCTCTCTCTAGATTCCCGAACTTGAAGAAGAAGACGAGTAAAATGGCGAGCTCTGTGTCCTGCAGGCCGTCGATTGTGGCCAGACCGATTCCAAACGATGGTTTTCTGTCGTCGTCGGGAGCTCTAAATTGTGCCGGGGCTGTTGTACCTTACTGTACAAGCACGAGGGCCCTCCGAAGGGTTTGCGGCGTGCGAGCTTCAGCTGTGGATTCGTATGAAGGTTCATCTAATTTCGCTAATCGCATGGAAAAAGCATGGTTAATCTCTAAGGTAATTCTTATTAACTGAGTTAATCTCTATGGTAATTCGAATCTGATTGATTGTCTTTGGTTTTATTTAGAATATGATATTTTATGAATTTGGATTGAAATTCAATAACTAAGGTCTCGCCCAAAACCCTAATGGAGTGAAAATTTTGGATTGCACTTGATGAAATGTAGGTTATGCACTTTTTTCTTTGTTTTATAGCTTAATTCTCGTTTGATTTACTCAATCCAACGACCATGAAAAAAGAGAGGAAAAAAAAAAAAACGAGTGCGGATATCATTTAAGTTGAATTTTAGCTGTTTTTGGTGCAATGGAAGGATAATATATGGGTAGAATTTGGTTTGGTTTACGAGAAGGTACTGTCGCAAATTATAACCGAAATACTCGTTGCCTGCATGAGACTGTATTGAAAGATGGTTGTTTATATATCTGGTAGGCCTAACTGGATTATTAGTTCTTGTGGTCATAAAGTAGTCGAAAAATAGCTCTTATGGTAAAAGCATTTTTATACCTTGTTGTGAAGTCTGTTAAGATTTAGGTCTAAAATTAAAAGTTCTGTCAACTCTCCATTAATTGTTACCACATAAGCCATCCCGTTAATTGTTATCACGTAAGGCTCACATGTAAGACTAACTTTATCTTTTTAGTCTTATATGTGTGGCTCATGTGCTAAAAATTAACAGCGAATTGATGAAACTTTCAATTTTCAACTTAAATTCTAACAGACTTCACCACAGGTTTAAATCCTAATTGGCTATCTTCCGACTACCTATTTTCAGCTTAAATCCTAGTGACTTTAGCATGGGTTTAAATCCTAATTGGCTATCTTCCGATTACATTATCACCACGGATGACAAAACTACTAATCCAATTAGGCCTTATCTGGTATTACGTGGTTAGTGAATGTGGAAGATTGCATTATGAAGGGTTGATGCGCGCAGATTAGAGTTCGACATCCTTGGACCATCCACACAAACACAAATCCATTGATTGTTGTCTAAATCTTCGATGTTTTCGCTACTTGCAGCAACCAAGGCCTATTGCTTGTTCTTCTTGCAACTCAAATGGTCATATCGAATGCAAATGGTGTGCCGGAACAGGCTTCTTTATTCTCGGCGATAACATGCTCTGCCAAGTCTCTTCGAAAAGTACAAGTTGTGTTATTTGTACCGGAAAGGTAAGTCAAATCTTCACGGAGCCGGTTTGTGATTCTTGCTATCAGTCTTCAATTTCCGATATGCATTTGCATTTTCTGCTATAAATAGTGTATAACAAAAACCGGCTATCTCGTGTTTCTCCAGGGATCAATGCGATGTTCCGACTGCAAAGGAACAGGCTTTCGTGCCAAGTGGTTAGGACAGCCTCCTGTTTCCAAGTAGTAGCTTTGCTTGAAAGAGATGCCTGCTCTTGGAAAGCTTCAACCGTCGAAGCCGCTATACAAATTGTAGTAACATCTTATTCATGTTGTAACAATTCTTCTTCATTCAAGTTATGAAAGTTACATATTCTTTTAAACATCACCCTTTACCAGTTTACCTTATTCATCTTAGTTTCCGGAATGTAAAACTGTCACTGCCTCCATCAGTTGCACGAAGTTTTGCATGTCCTGATCGATTCTGTGTATAATACTGATTACCTATGCAACATCAGGTATTAACGCAAAATCTTCTCATGTACAAGAGAACACATCCGGAACAGATTGATTTCGAGATGGTATTTTCGAAAGAAATGAAAACAAGTTCTTTTCTATACTTCCAATAAAATGTATGTTCAAAGCAAATGTAATCAGAATAGACATGAACAAATAACCTCACTGAAGAAGAGCAGTTGCCTTAGACTATAGCCGAAAAGAGCAACTGGTTGATATCCTCCGAATCAGAATCCCGGTTCTCATCCCCTGCACCAACAACGCTTTATCAAGATATGTTCTAAAACTCTATACAACTCTATAGCAACGAAAGGCATTCATTTTTCAAGATTTTGCATCTCTCCAAAAACAATGTTTCACTGCAAGAGCAAGGCAACTACCAACATCGACAAATCCATAGTTAATGAAAAAGTTGAACACGCTGTGAAGAATTCCTTCTGTTCCTTATTCTACAGAAACAAATAGGACCAATTTTGATACCTCGTCCCTAATTACCGACTAAGTACTGATATTTACACACAGCGGCATCATCAACTTCCTCCCAACAGTAATTACAGCGTTCACGGTAAGAGGTTACCTGTTTTTGATCTGACTTGAACTGTCCACTCATCAATGACCTGCATAAGAGATCAATATGGTCATAAATTTATGTTTTAAGTATGAGACCAAAAAATGTAAGAAAGGTGAAGTGACTGGATCCTGAATGTAGCAAGGCATAGTTCCGCCACAAAGCTACCCGCAGAATATCTTTGCACGGGCATATAATTAGAAACATAGCCGAGCCATAGATTAATCTTGGTTGCTTGCTGGAAATGGTGCAAACACTCAAAACACCATCTGGAAAACTAGACAACCGTTCATGTAGGTATTGCCAACAACAGCAAACAACACAAATACTGTAATCACAGATTACAACAATCCACAATTTCCATAGCAAAGGGAAAAAAACCGTATTCACAGCTTCGATTTCTTGGGAATTAAATACAGCATTCACCAGCATTCCAGCACAGAAATCACGTAAAGTGTACCTCCAACTATCAATCTATATGTGCTAGCTCCAATATTTTCATTTATGAAAATGAAATGTACCCAAAAGAAATTAACCTGGTTGAAGTTAGCAAAAGCAGAATCATCCGAATCAGCGTCGGCGAAAACTCCCATCGATGCCTCCATCCGCTGCAATTGGTTTCTGTTCCCAACCAGAGTCGTCCTAGCCTTATCAATCAAATCCTTCAAAACCCAAAACCCAAAAATCAAAATTAAAAACTAAAGTTTCCTAATTTTATCTGAAAAAAATTGAAAATTACCTGTTTGGCCGAAAGAAGTTCGCGGCACTGGTCTTCCAAAGTCGACAATTCTTCTTGAATCTTCTTTATCCTCGAAACCAGCTTCATTGGGTTCGCAGTTATCTGGGTAGATTTGCTGGAACTCCCTCTCGAGCCGGTGGCTGAACCATCGTCAGATCGTGGTTCGCCTTCGTCAGTAGCTTCACCAAGCCGTCCGTCGCTTCGTGATGCTCGCTTACGTGTCCCATTTTCTCAGAGCTTCACTTTCTCTCTCCTAGGGTTTTCTGCTCACTGTGTAGCAATGGGAAACCAATTTACCCGCGCCAACCGACTCTGAGCTTTGCTTCGCGGGTTTGAATTTGAAGTTCTCGGAGAAAAGGGCCCAATTTCACCTCATTATGGCCCATTACAAAATAACTGTACATTAGGCCCAATTTTAGCTTTTGTACTGTTTTTGGTATCAAACGATGAACGTTTTTAAGCCACGAAGTATCAAACTCATTACAAACATATACCGCTTTATGGGGTGTTGAATTTGAGGTTAGGGAGAAGGTGGACGACTTTCTCATTGGGGTGGGACCCACATATAAGAGGCTTATGTAGAGCTTACTTATATTAAGAGAAATTCTGAAGTTCGGAATTCGTACTACGTGTTCGTGCGGACTCCATACACAAAAACGTCACATACACCAACCCTTAGGAGAATTTTTATACTGTATAGCAGATATGACCTGATACATCAAGTGTTATAATACAATTGGTTAAGAATTTTTTTTTAAATTTCTAACTATTTGCACTATTACAATTGGTGTACTGGGAGGTATGTTCCGCACACCGAAAAATCTCTCCATCCCAACTTTGACCTCGTTTTCCTCTCGTCAACCCCAATCTGGTTTCCCTACTCAAGAACTTCTCTCGTGTCTCTTGTGAGTTGTCGAATGCGTCAGCCCTGTGTCGGAGTAAGGAGACCGAGTCCGAGATAGTTGGGCTTAATGGGCCCAAGGGGTCAAAAATACTCTACTTGGGCTTAATTCCAAATATATGTACTGTTGGCCCATTGGAAGAGCCCGAGTTCTTTTCAGTTTTTATACCGACACGGGTTTCACCGTTGGAGAAAGAGTAAGCGCGTGCGGAACAACACGGGCATGGCAGACGAGGAAGAGAGGGTTCTGGAGAACCTACTGGAGCTTCAATTGCAAGAGCAAAGAGAATCTCTCTCTACCATTAACGATGCTTTAGCCTCCGAGCCCAACAATACCGAGCTTCTCGCGGTACGTCATCTCTTACTCTGACAGTCTAACTTTCTGTTTGGTTACCGAGAAAATCCACGAAAGAAAGTGTTGATAATGCTAGGTTTTACGATTCATTTGGCGGAGTACGATTTTGTGATAAAATCCAGCGGAGCGCTGGTGATAAACGTGTAAAGCCTTCAATTTGTACAATATTATTGGCAAATTTGTCTAAATTCCGTTAATAATTGTTACGTTCATTATTTTGTAATTGATATGGATCAGATTGATAGGATTTTGTAGTTGAAATTAGCTTAATGATATGAATTTAGAAATGTGAATGATCGAGCTCTTAGCTCTGCAAGTTAATACTGTACTAGGAAGATAAGTTTTTAGGTGATTTAATCGAAATTGAAATCTAGGTTGGTTTTTGAAAACCATATATTGGGGGTTTTGTTTTCGCAGCTTCACGAGGAGATTGTTCAGGCGATTAAAGATGCCGAGGAAGGACTGCTGAACCTGAAACGGGCACGGTTATTACGAGAAGCTGATTTAGTGTTAGATGGTTCTAGCTCATGTTGATGAGGGTGTTAAGGTGGAGACTATTGATCTAACAGAAACAGATGTTGAGCCAGAGCCGCTGGAGGACCCGAGTTACCCTGTTGGGTCGAAATGTAGGTTCCGTCACACTGATGGACGTTGGTATAATGGTCAGGTTATCGGATTGGAGGGTTCGGATTCTGCAAAGATTTCTTTCCTCACTCCTACATCCGAGAATATGATGGTGCGTACATTTTACTGGTCCGCTTTTTATCTTGTGAATTTTTCCTTTCGTTTCTATAGCTTTTTTCTTAATGATTTTGGAGAGGACATGCTACCGTGAGTATAAACTTTAATTTTAACCAAAGCAACAAGGTTACAAATATAAAGCCCAACATTTGATTTAAGGTTGAACCTGATGGAGATGGTTTGTCACTTCAAAGTCAATAAGCTAAGGCTATATAAACCACTTAAAAATACTAATGCCGAACCATCAAAATGCAGATTTGCAAGTTCTTTCTCCAACAACGATGTCGATTTGGTACCAACTGCCGCTTATCACATGGTATGTTGTTATCTATTGACAGATAACTTGTCTATGGTCCCACTGATGCCATGTTTGCATTGTTATTAGCCTCTGGAACAATGCGTGGTATGAGATATTGGTGGTCATAGGTTCATAGCCAGGCTATATTTTAGATTGGTAGCCGTACCTAGCGGGGCTTCAGAAGTTAAAGCACCCTTTTCCTTTATGCTTCAAAGAACTGCTTATGCTTTTTGGAACGAGTTTAGAATCTCCATGCTTACACATTTCCCATGCATGCAGGAGTTGATGTCCCACTTTCCTCACTGAGAAAGTATATCCCGACAATATGGGAGCAGTCACTGGTCGGGTCTAGTATTTGGGCAGTATCAGATAGTAAAACTGGTGTGTGGAGGGAAGCTGAACTTGAATCATGGGACGGTGCACTTGGGGTTGGAAAAGTTGTATTCCGAGATGATGGAAGCTCTGCAGATCTTGGGGAGGATGCTATAACATTGTCCGAGTATGCTCAGATGAGTGGTGAAGAAGAAAGTGATTCAAGCTCTGACCAATCTGATTCTAGTGACTATGATGACGAAACCCCGCAAGGTTTAGGATTTCTTGAAAGCACAATCCTCCAGAGGGGTATCCAGACAGAAACTGCCATATTTGCAAAGTGGGAGAACCACACCCGGGGCATAGCGTCCAGGATGATGGCCAACATGGGTTACCTTGAAGGAACTGGTCTAGGTGCATCTGGCCAGGGAATTATAGATCCCATCTCCGTGAAGGTCCTTCCGCCAAAGCAATCTCTTGATCATGCTGTCAAAACCCGTGAAGGCGAAGAGAGGAAAGAGAGCAAAGAGAATCAAGGAAAGAAGCGTAGCAGGGGTGGTAAGAGGAAGCGTGAAAAGAAGTTTGCAGCACTGGCAAGAGCAGCAAAAGAAGAAGAGGAATCAACACCAGATGTCTTTAGTCTTATTAATAGCCAACTTGCAAAGCACGGTGAAGCTTTGAATGGTAAATCAGCGAAGAAGCAGCAGAGCAATGGATCAGGGGAGGGAAAGAAAGTTGATAGGCGGGCTTTGGTTGCTTACGATGATGAAGTGAAGGACTTGAAGGCGCGAGTTGGGAAGCTTGAAGAAATGGCAATTAGAAACAAAAATGAGAAGGTGGTTTATGATGCTGCGATGAGGAAATTGACGGAGACTCGCAAAGCTTTGGCACAGGCAGAGGCCGCTCAAGCGTCTGCGTCGAATGCGGTTGTCAGTAAAGAAAAAGAGAAGAGATGGCTTAAATTTTAGGCTTGGTATTATCATGTGCATCATTTGTAAGCGTATACAGTATGCTGAACTTTATTTTACTTCGAAAATTTCATAGGTGTAGGATTCGTTTTTACCCCTTGGATTGTTGTACATGCATTGATCTCCTTTCCCCCCAGATTAACAATGTTATTAAAATCTCAATGCTATTAGTTTTGTTTCGTCAAATTAAAAGCGCAGCGCTTTTGATTATTTTAAAAACACTTCTCAAATGAGTCCGGCTTTTTAGAAAATGTTTCTCTATAAAGCACTTATGCAAGTGAGAGCTTTTATCATGGACTTTCAAAAAAGCACATGCTATTTGCGTTCCTAAAATGACTTAAGTTTTTAACCTTTCATGACAAATATTACCATAAGCGTTTTGAGCATCTGAAAACTTCTTCAGTCATTTCAAAAGTCGTTTATCAGTTCATTCGAAAAGCTTTTCATCAGTGTGTTTCTCTAAAAAAAAAAATTTCAAAATATTTTTCAAATGGAAATGCTTTTCATCTAAAAGTGCTTTTAATTATTTTACAAACACAATAAAAAAAAAAAAAAACTTTTGATTATCTGAAAACACTTTTCACAAGTAGCGTTTTATATGGAAGAGGATTCGGTCCGAATCTCTCTCATCAAAGGCCTAGGATCAAGCGATTCAGACCGTTGAAATTTGATCTAACGGTTATAATTATTATAACTTTATAAGGATCCCTTATTTATAGCTTTTAACTATAACCGTTGGATCAAATTTCATTAATTCGGATCACTTGATCCTGAGTATTTGATGGAAGAGATCCGGACCGGATTCTCTTCCGTTTTATATCACCTGTAAAAAACCAAAAAAGTCGGCTCAAGCCATTTGACACTTGAGGTTGGGCTTGGACTTCATTTCAAACCAGAGTAAAAATGTAAGAGGATCCTGTGTGGGATCGGTGACTCGTGACTCGGTGTACCCTAAGATCCGACGGCTCACATCCCTCATCTAACCCAAAATACACCGAAAAGCGTCCCACCATTTTCTTGGAGAAGCAGAATCAGTACCTCCGGTCTGCTTCCTTCTCCTCCAAGAACCACCAGCTCAACTGTCGCACACGCTTTAAACCTCCAACTTCAACCCCCCACCCCTTTTCTCTCTTCTTTCTCTCTCTACCTTACTCTCTGTAACTCTTCTTTCTCCCTCTACCACACTCTCTGTAATCAGAGTGTTAAGTTTTCTCTCTCTAAAACCGCACCATGGGAGAAGAAGCTAGGGAAGTCGACTCCTCGGCGACCAGTCCGAGACCTTCAGTGACGATCGGCTCGTCGCTAATTTCGATGATCAACAAGCTCCAGGATATTCTCGCGCCGGTGGTCAGCGACAAGCCGCAGATTTCGCTGCCTCAAGTGGCGGTCGTGGGAAGCCAGAGCAGCGGGAAGTCGAGCGTCCTCGAAGCCCTCGTCGGACGGGACTTCCTCCCCCGCGGCCGCGACATCTGCACTCGCCGCCCGCTCGTGCTGATGCTCGAGTATCGCGCGGAAGAACCCGGCGATGAGCACACCGAGTGGGGAGAGTTCCGCCACTTGCCCGGAAAACGCTTCTACGACTTCTCCGCAATCCGCCGCGAAATTCAGGTACGGATTGAGCTTCTTCTTCAACATTGCTGCTAGTAGTTATACTGTTTTTTGATAATTGTTTTGTCGGCGCAGGCCGAGACGGATAGGGAGGCCGGATTGAACAAAGGGGTTTCGGATAAGCAAATCCGGCTGAAGATTACCTCTCCGAATGTGCTTAATATGACACTGGTTGATTTGCCCGGAATCACGAAAGTTCCGGTGGGAGATCAACCGAGAGACATAGAAGCAATGATTAGGAAGATGATTATGGACTATATTACACAGCAAAACTGTATTATTTTGGCTGTTAGTCCTGCGAATTCCGATTTGGCAACCTCCGATGCGCTTCAGATGGCTAGAGAAGCCGACCCGAATGGTACCTGCACATTTTACTTCTGAATTCGACTTTTACATCCAATGCATAATGTACTGACATAAATGTATTAACAGGTTTCCGCACAATCGGTGTGATCACCAAGGTTTGTGGTTCACCTCTTAGACTCCGGTTTGTTACACGCCTCAGTTGTTGTACAATATGACAATGTTGTTCTATCTGTAGCTTGATATAATGGACAGGGGCACCGATGCCTGTAACTTTTTGCTTGGGAAAGTTATTCCACTAAAGCTCGGTTATGTTGGTGTTGTGAATCGTAGCCAGGAGGTATGAATTAGTTCCGCTAAAGTTATATATACATGTATATATATGTGTGTGTGTGTGTGTGTATTTTGTAGCATACATTTGTTTTATTTAGTACATTGCTAAAATGTTATTGTTATAGAAGAAAATGCGGGTGCAAGGTTCAGGCTCTATTACTGAAGTGTTATTCTTGTGTCACAGGACATCAATAAAAACCGTGGGATTGCTACTGCACTTGCATACGAGGAGAAATTCTTCAATGAGCACCCTGTACTGTTTGCTTTCTTTGTATATTATATTGCGAAAATAATGATAATTGTTTGTCTTGGCACTTAACGTTTATTGTATGCCACACATGTTAAAGGTGTATAGGTAACCTCTCGGATCGTTGTGGCATGCCCCAGTTAGCAAGGAAGCTGAATCAGGTTGGTATGAACTATGAACCAAAGTCATAACAAGGTTATACTAAGGGAAATGAAATTCTTAGGTGCTTATGTTTTTGTTTTATATTATTTTGTACTCTCGTTGTTTTTGCACTGTTGTCATGGTTGATTTTCTGTGTTAGATTCTGGAGCAGCATATCAAAAGGGTTCTCCCTGATTTGAAGGCTCGGTTGAATTCTCAAATGGTTTCTGTTTCCAAAGAACTGCAGGCATATGGGCAACCTTTAGAATCTAAAGTAAGTTGCAAAACAACTTATCAGCGCCTGGTATTATCTACTGCATTTAATGCATGCAGAGAGTTAGAAAACTACTGGTCCCTAAATGGTTGAAGTGTTGCATTCGTATCCAAACACTATGTCCAAGTCCAGTCCCCTTGTCCTCTTCCTTTTTTATTTATATTCATGACCAGTCTATAGAGATATTTTGCTAGTATTGATGGAACACATAGCAAAGTGCACAGACATATGCATTCACAATTTCACATTCAAAAACTATTCTCTTGTTATTGGCATGGATGGTATACTCTTCACTTTTTAGCTGTTTGTAACCATTTTTTGTCACTTGTCCTGAATCAGATGGCGCAGGGAGTGGTTTTGTTGAACATTTTAACAAAATATTGCGAAGGTGAGATTTCTATTTCTGTTATTTGTTAAATGTCAATCTTTCACTTGACTGCATGACTTGGAATCATGGATGATATACCTCAAACTATCACTTAATATATCTTTCTTGATTCTGTTAGCATTTTTTTCCCAAGAATTGGATCTATATTTGTCATAGGGAGAGAGTACTGTATTACCTTAGCCAACCTCTCGGAGAGGATTTAGTAGTGAAAGCTATGAGGTGTTTCTGTGACTGGTGGTGAAGCATGTGATAGTGAAATGAAATTCCTGCAATGGGGTTAGGGTGCAGTAGAGCTGGAAGGAAATCCACCCCATCTTTTCTTTTTGTTTTATTAAGAGACTCTGAGGATCAGCACAAGTTATGCACAACAATTTGCACAAGTGAGAAATAGTACTACTGTAAATTTAATTTCTCTAATTTTTTCTCACAGACTAAGTTAGTACACATACCTTACATATGAACTTTACTGGACCCAAGAAACTCTGCGTTTGTGGAGAATACCAATGATATCACATGGACTTAACCATGTGGCTGAACTGAAATTAACGTAAAGTGAAAGCCTTTCTCTAAAGTCTTCCAGTCTTCTTTAATTTGTGTAATCATGGTTTTTTATGATTTTAAGCAACTTGTTTTTAGGGCATTTATACTAATAGAGCATGCTGTTCAAGTACTACCTTGTTTGTTGTTATTTTCAGTTTTAGCCGTTTTCACTGATGCTGTTAATGTTCCTTCTCTCTCTGTTTCACCAATGGACAGCTTTTGCTGCCATGTTGGAGGGAAAAAGTCAGGAGATGTCAACCAAAGAATTATCAGGAGGTGCTAGGATCCACTACATTCTCCAGTCAATTTTTGTAAAAACCTTGGAGGTACAATGCACTATAGTTTTTCTAAACATGCAGTTTCTTTAATGACCTTTAGTAATTGTACAAATTCTTGCTTTCTTTCATTTTATGAGTTTTAATCTAAAGCCATAGACTACTACGTTGCCAGTTACTGTCTTCTGCTTATTTGTTTGATGTTAGCATACCTTGAAAGTTGTCTTGAAGAAAACTATGTAGTGTTATATATGTAATCAAGGCACCGAGTTGTAGAACTAATGTGCCACTGTAAGACATGTACCATCAGATTGGCTACTAACTCCCAGGAATTGTAGGGTGTGGATCCCTGCGACGATCTAACTGATGATGATATTCGAACGGCTATTCAAAATGCTTCTGGTGCAAAAAATGCTTTATTTGTGCCTGAGGTGAGTATAATGATGATTACATGCTGTAGGTTTGCATTTTTCCCTAGCATAAAGGTAGACGCCCATGCCTTGGTTCTACATAGTGCCTGATATGTTCATGAATTATCTTTAGGTCCCATTTGAATTTTTAGTAAGAAGACAAATTGCTCGGTTGCTAGACCCAAGCTGTCAGTGTCTTCATTTTGTTTATGATGAACTTGTGAAGGTGAGATATGATTTATGCACCTGTGGTGCTTATGGAATTCTTATAGTGTGTCCATGAATCCTGAGGTGTAAATATAATCTGTAAGATAAAATTTCCCCTGCAGATAAGCCGCACTTGCGAGGTAATTGAGTTGCAAAGGTTTCCAGTATTGAGAAAGTGTCTGGATGAAGTCGTGGTAAACTTTTTGCGGGAAGGGGCAAAGCCTGCTCAGAGAATGATAGAAAATCTTATTGAGATGGAGGTAGCTCTTTGTCAACCTTGAAAAATTAAGACTAAAGTTTATGCACTAAAAATTATGTACAGCATTTGTTAAAATGGTTTCATCGACTCTCAAAATAATGTTAAAATAGCGGAATATAAAATCTAATCACACTGAGTTGACAATAGTAACTGGTAAAACACTCAACCCTTCTGAAAAAAAATTGTGATTTTAACATTTTGGTAATGGGGTGTGCTATCCACACACCCCATTTTACTTCTCACACACTTCCGTTGATCTTCTTAGTTTCATCTTATCCGACGGCCGAAAATTAAAAATGTCTGTGAGAAGTAAAATGGGGTGTGTGGATATCACACCCCTTTGGTAATACGGTAAATTTTCAACTCTGCAGTGTATGAGAACCTATATTTCCTGTCAACCCTTTATTTAGTTTTTGGGTGACTCTTACTACCAATGGTTTGTTGACACTCTTGAATGAAAGTGATTAATTCTTAGATCTGTTGGTCATGTCACACAAAATTGTGCTCGGCACTGATCTTTTCACTGACAATATATGTTTTCTTTTAAGAGATTGCTCAGAATTACATGCTATGGTTTTATTTCTTTCACATTTACTCAAATGCTGATTGCCCAACTTTCTTCCATTCAGGTGGATTATATAAACACTTCGCATCCACGTTTTATAGGTGGGAAGAAAGCTTCTGAGCTTGCTATGCAGCAGTTGAAAGCACAACAGGTATCTTGTACAACATTGCTGAAATGGATGATGATAATGTAAATAAAAAAGCTTAAACAGTTACTGCTTTACTATTAGACACGATGAAGCAGTCCTGATCGTGTGTTGGATTCATAACAAATATATTGTCATGAACTTTCAGTTTCTTTAATCTAACAGTCCTATGTTTTATTTTTATAACAAAAGTCCAGTCATATTAACCAAAGTCAATTATGAATATGCAATCTCAGTTTTGATATGATCTGAAAGATCAGAAAAGTAAACTATACAGTGGTGGCTTTATTTTTTATTGATAGTGTACGGAGATCTCTGTTTAGTGTGTTTTTCGTTCTTATTTTGAGAAAAGAAAAAGTTATTGAGATTTGGCTCTTCATTCTCATCGAGAGAACTTTTTGTATGATCTCTATCATCAAGTTCATATCAATCAAGTTCAGGGTAACGTATTGTATTCCTTATTATCTTTGCACAATTATTCAACCCAATCGTCATTAGATCTCATGTAAAAGGGTTTGTAAATTATCGGTTATACCTCAAAGTTGTTCTTATATGTTTCAGGGTGTTACGGATGTTGAAGGCCAGACATCTCGAACTGTTCAGGCTAAGACAGTTCTGAATGGAATTTTACCTTACCAAGTATGCCTTTCATTTTTAGTTGACAATATTACAAGAGGGAAACCGGGTAGTCCAAACAAGAAGAGAGAGGAAAGACAAAAGGACGGCAGAGTTGAAAACAGAAAGGGGAGAAAAACCCCCCAGAACCATAGAAGAAAGGCCTTTAAGAAATCGGAGGTCCTCGCTTACTCTTTGGGGCCCATATCACCTGAATTGTTATGATCTTCCATTAGCCTAGCTATTTCTTCTTTTTATGGGGTTCAATTTCCATTAACCTAGCTAATGGTAGAAGCGTGATAGTGGAAGACTGGGGTTGTTGAACCTTGTAGAGACAAACGCTGGAGCCACCCATAGTGCTAGAATGAAGAACAAAATCTGCTCGTCTTTATTTTTTTTTTTAGCATGAAAAATAGGCTCTAACTAGTTCATTCTCTACCTGAAATATCAGATTTGGATTGTTTGTGAAGAAAACTGTAATTCGGAGCACTGTTTTCCTTGTAAATCAGCTTTCTAGTTGGCTAAAAGCCTAAAAACACTTTTGTGAATCCAAGTAAATGGGGTAAAATTAGATTTGTGGATTAACTAGTTTGGAGGGCCTGATGCTTTTGGCTTATCTTTCTTCTTCCATAGATGCCTTCAATCTAACATAGTCTTGGTGTTTGGCAGGGAAGTCGTTCTCAGCTGAATAACGAGAATCCAGTATTTTCTGGTAAACTCATGTCTACTATTTCCAAGCATACTGCTTCCCTTGGTATATTGAAACTGCTTTATTCTGTTAACATGTTTCGTGTGCATATATGATGGCACATCTATCTATTAATCTGCCATTGCTAAGACCAATGAATTTTGTTAACAGGTTCTACAAGGACTTGGGGTATTCCGTCTATATTTGGGAGTAGGACATCAGCTGTACAGTCTGGCGGACGTTTTGGTGAACAAAGTCATTCGGAGTCGATGCCCTCTACAATCAATTTGAGAGAGGTAAATCTGTAGTTTACAGAATTTTATTTCTTCATTCTAATTTATTATCTGCTTTTTCACTTTAGGATTTAAATGTGATCCCTTTGTTTTTCCCCTTGTCCTTGCTGATTTCAGCCACCGTCCATCTTAAGGCCAATTGAAACGACGGACAATGAGGCAGCGGAAATTATTATAACCAAATTACTCTTGCAATCCTATTATGACATTGTCAGAAAGAACATGCAAGACCTAGTTCCAAAAGCTATAATGCACTTTCTGGTATGCCTATTTTCCTCCTTTTTCAATGTGTTAATATTTGTATTACGGTTACTATTGAAATACATTGACATGTTTCATTCTTACTGTGGCATAGGTCAATTCTACAAAACAGAACCTTCAGACAGCATTCATTCAAAAACTGTACATGTATGTCTTGTTGAAAAGGAGGAATTTACGGTCCTTATTCCGGCCATTACTGGCAGGACTTCCGTGAATTACTCTTATCTCCCGCATGATTGTGTTTCTGTTGGTTTTGCTGCATACTGTTGATTGAAAACTTCGAGGGTGATTTTCTTCCACTAATTATGCAGAGAGAACATGTTTGATGAACTGTTGAAGGAGCACGATGAACTTGTTTCAAAAAGAAAACGTAATGAAAAGTTGTTCGAGGTTTTCAAGCAGTCTCTTCAGGTAGTTTTAAACTTTTAACGGTTTAAACTTGTAAATGTCATTATTTAGAAGTTCTTGTTGGTTTTCTTGTCAAATGAGTAAACTTGAATTGTTTGTTTCTTCTAGACACTCGAGAAGGTCGAATTTGATGTTTCATCCCAAACTTCAAGTTTGGGCACTGATTTTTCGGTTGGACTGCCAAGGATTCCGAATACTTTGCCCGGTCTGCACAAAACATCTGAGATAAGCCAGTTTACGCACCATTCGTTTTCCATGCCATACACGACTGACACCACAGCTTGAAGATCATTTCGACGAGAAGAGCATGCTTTGTCTGCATGGCTTGATATCATATACCGGTTCATTTGGCGCTTACCCTTAGGGATTACCAGGCCGTACAGCGTCCTTCTCCTGGATCCATTTTTGGCATATGGAAGGATTAAGTTGTAAGATGATTGAAGAGTCGGTTCAAAATTCGAGAATTATATGTGTAGGGAGTTTTGATGTATTTCCCTGACCTTCAATTGTACCATCTATAACGATCGCCGCTGCGAGAGTTTTGTTTGCAAGCGAGGTACACAGGATAACAAAACTATCTGATAACGTAGATGTGAGTTAGGCCACTCGCCATAATAATTTTTTGAAAAAGCTACAACAAATGCGGATCTTAAGCTTACCAACGAGAATCCACTTATAAAAAGTAAAGATTTATAATTTCAAACCGTCTTCCTGGCACGGAATCGACGGCTCACAATCTCCTATGCGTCCTTATGAAGTTTGTTGTGTTCAATGCCACAGCGTACGAGCACGCATAAGCCCCAGCTGAGGTGATCGCTGCCGAGACTAATAGGATGGCCTTCCACTGCCTTCCGGAGACGAGAATTGCCAATGCAGCGAATGCAACAGGCAACAGCAGTGAGTGCCTTTTGCCATGCTTGGAAAGCTTTGACAACATCTCTGCATATTTTGCAGTGAACCACATGCCGGAAATACCGGTTGGCCAAGTTTGGAGCGTGCATCGATCCAATGCCCCCCTTTGCCGGCAGAGATGCAGAAACACCGGCCACAAGTCCGGCAGGTGCGTGTTCCACCACAGCAGGCTCTTTGGGCAACGAGATTGTGCTGTGTCCGAAATGGTAAGGCATTCCATGCCCTACTTTGTCCATCCATTTCCTGTACTCAGCAACCCAAGTGTCTGAAGATTTCAGGTTCAGGTACAGCTCTTTGGTTGGTACTTTTTCTTTCATGAGTATCTCGTTCTGCGACGACAGAAATCCCATATCTTGCTCGAAAACCTTGCCGGCATTCTGATGAAAGTACCATTTTGGAAACAATTTCGCGATTGGGGACCTTTTCGTTCCACCAAACCTCACAATGAGCATAGACTTCCCTTGTCCAGTTGGTCTACAGAGAAACAGACCCGAAAAGTAGTGTTTTTCCCCAGTTTTTTCATCAACAATCTCTCGGTTGTTTTGGAGAGAACATGATGCCTCAAACCTCAAGAAGCTCTTCACCGACGGATCAGTTGTCTTGCCCCACCAGCCTGCGAATCCTCGATCAGTTCGTTCAGTGACCTCAAAGAACAGTGGTTGAGCATCTTCCCTTTTCGCACTCCAATCCGTCCTGTCGTGTGAGATTGGAACATGGGCAGGATCCATGAGATTCTCCAAAAGTATGGAGTGATCGTAAGGGAGCTCATGAGTCGTCGACGTGTCTTGAAACCCTGGCCGGGCGAAGTTCTCAAACCACGGAATCTTGGCCGGGTTTGGTGGTGTCTTGTGAGACATCCAAACCCACACAACCCCCTGTGAGTCCTTCACCTCGTATGTTTTCACACAAGCTGATTTCGGAATTTTGGCATCAGCCGGAAGCTGTAATACAAAAACATAAATAGACACTCAACATCATAAACCGACATTGATTAAAGAGTATGTCACTGTGAGCCCGTGGCGGTATCCCAAATCAATCACGAATTGCCATGCATTTTGAGTTTCTCACTTTACAATACGTAATTAGCTTGAGAGACGGTCGCAAACCTGAGGAATCTTTACGCATTTTCCTTGGCCTTCGAATTGCCAACCATGATACAAACATTCCAACCTTCCATCAATCAGCTGCCCTTCCGATAGTTTCGCCAACCTAGCTAAGAGAGGATTGTCATGAGTCATAAGTAAACATGCACAATCTACGAGCGATAACCAATTAGTAAGTTAATACAACAATAATGATTGTTTTCGACTCTAAATTAGTCACTTGAGACTCAAACAACAAACTTCATTTAATTATTGGCAAAGATGATTTTTAGATCAAAACCATGAGTAAGATCAAAATCTAATTTTAGTCCCTTAATACATTAATAACCTCATTTATTAATTATATCTTGATTTTTTAATTATTTCTCTTTTTTCTCGCTAATTTTTAATGTATTAATTTTATTTCATTATAATTATAATTTTCATTTCATTTATCCTAATATATTTTGTTGTAAACATTTATAATTTAATTTTTGTTATATAATATATTACAAAGTACTTTGTCTTCTTCATTAAGGTACATTAAATTTATTATAATAGATTTTAGTGCATATATTTAGGTACACACATTTCAGTACATACATTTCGATACAAACATTTAGGTACATTAATTCAATATAATACATTTTGGTACTAACATGTCGGAACACATATTTAGGTACATTAATTTAATATAATATATTTCGGTGCATATATTTTGGTACATACATGTTGGTACTAACATTCAAGTTTGAAGAATGTTAAATAAAATTAATAAATTATAAAACTCTTTTTTGGTCAAAAAATAAATTAAAATTTGTATATTAATAAATTTAAATATTTAATAGGAGACATTAAATAAAATGCACATTAATTATTTTAAATTAAGAACACATCAATGGATTATAATCAATATGTAATCTAACACGAGATTTATTTTAAATTTCAACCTTTTTTAAGAATTAAAGTTAAAAAACCCCCCTAAAATTAATTTGCATGATTATATATAAGAATCTATAACCAACAGACAATGTTACCTGTGGGGGCAGCGATCCTGGTAGCACTGGAGCTCTCCATTGCCGTCCCTGTACAGGACGAGCTGCCTATCAAACACCGTGAGACCCAGAGGAGCATCGTCTGGAATGTCCTGGGTGAGGTACAAAGGGTACCATTCCTCCGTCCAATCGTAATCCGCCACGACCCTCTCTCCCCTCCTCTCCGCCTCGCTGGTTGGACCCACCAGGACCTTGTGGTCCTCCTCCGCTGCCGCCGCTTGATCTCCGTCAAGTGGCAGGGGAGGAGGTTTGGTGTCTGCAACTGCACCACACTTGATGCTGCTCAGGCTAATCTTTCTGGAAGGAATGAAGGGTCTGAGATGGATTGGTGGGGAGAGAGATAAGAGGAGTTTGAGCGGCTGTGATTGCTTGGGGGTTTGGTGGAGCTGAAGGGAGGTGGAATGGGAGAAAAAGGGGTGGAATAAAGCCATGTTTGATTGAATTGGGGAGGAAGCAAAGGAGGAGGAAGATGATGTCATGGAAAGAAAAGGAAGAGGGAAAGCTAAGGAGGAAATAAAGCCATGTAAATATGTGATTCTAGAGAGAGAGAGAGAGAGAGAGAGTGAAATTGGGCTGGAGGTTGCTTATTTGCTTGTTGCACTTATGTTAGCCACACAATCTTTGAAGTTTGGTCAATCATCAAGAAATAATGCTAGCTAGCTTATGTGTTTCTCTTGCACATGTACCCTTTTTGGTACTCAACGTTCTTTGCAATAGTACAAACAAACCCAACTTCTCGGGAAGATAATAGGTATGACTGATTGAGTTTGAGGCAGCTTTCCTGAGTGAGATTAATTGATGTTGGATGAGACAAAATTGTAAAGAGTTTCATGCAGCTTTCACAATGAGTGGGAATTACCTGAAATTAATGAGACCATAATGGATGAGTCTCATGCTTTTGTGACTATTGCTAATTTTTCCCCTTGTGTGATAAACAGAAAACCGAACATTGCGACTCGTATACTTTCGAAGGCAACTTTTCTCCTTGACATGGTCGAGTACCATTACTTTGTAATTTCAAATCACATGGATGTAAAAGTAACTCATTGTAAATTTGTAATCATAAAGAAAAGGATACATTGCCGTTTGATGCTCTAAACTTTTATCCCAGTTAAAATTGATTCCCTAAACTATTTTTTTTAACAAACTAAGCTACTGAAATATTTTGAAAAAACTATTTTTTTTAACAAACTAAGCTACTGAAATATTTAGAAATCAGCCAATTTACCCCCCCCCCCTAATAAGATTTTAATGAAATTTCATGCACTTCGCTGTCAAATACTGGCACGACTTTACCCTCAAGAGTGAATCACGTACTGGTCGCGTGCGAATATTTGATGACAAAGTAGATGAATTTTATCGAATCTAATGGTCAGTGGCGAAGCCAGGATTTCTTAGGGGAGGGGCGAACTTAAAAGAGTGCAAGGTTAAAGAAAAATGGCAACAACTAAATTTTTTTATATAGTAATGTATTTCATAATTAATCAATACAAACAAATTACAATTGTTGCTGGCGAGGTTTCATGTCATGAAAATGTCGCATAATAGGCTCATTATCAATAAAAGCAAATACATCTCTCTTAATGTAAACAATCATGCTATCACTCAACCATTGATCTCCTATTTTGTTACGCAATGGTGTTTTCACAATCTTCATGGTAAAAAAGCTTTCTCCACCGAAGCGGTTGCAACCGGTAATACCAAAGCCAATGTAAGAAGCTTATACACTAACATATAGCTTTCACACCTTCCAGTCTTCACTAACTCTTTTGCAAGCTCACTAATTCCTCTTAATGATGAAAACTCACCATGCATCTTCATATCATGAATGTAATTGTCAAGTTGAATTGGAAGATTCATGAGGTCTATACGATCAAAACCTTGAGGATAAAGTTGGGCTAAAAGAACAATTTTTGCTTTGTCAAAAGATGCAAAATTATTCACCGGACTCAAACATGCCATACAAAGAAGCAACTCGGTGTTTTCCTCATTGAAGCGATCATTCAATTCCTTTAGTTGCATATCAAGGACTTGCAAATAGAGGTCCATAAGATAGCAATGGAAGTTTGTGATTTTTGGAGCTTTGCACCTTGATTTTCCAAGTACGAAATGCAAATCCTCCATGTTAGGAACGATAATATCATGCTCCTCACAAAACTTTTCTACATCATGAAACAAGTCCTCAAAGTCATCATCTCTCAAGGATTCTAGTCTTTGCTTGCATACTTCCACTAACGTCATTGCATTCACAATATCTTGATCTTTCTTTTACAATGCATGTGATAACTCATTTGTAATTCCCAATATAAGTCTCATCAAGAAAAGGTGAAACACAAAATCAAAAGTTTGTATGTCTTTGAATAACCTAGTTGCTTCACTGAGATTATCTTATTTGCGATCATTTTTAGTCCATTCAACCACCTCCACCACAGCTTCAAACATAACAATAATACTAACTATAGTATCATAATGCAAGTTCCACCGTGTATCACATGGATGCATGAGACTACTTTCTTGATTTAACCTTTTACCCGTTTCAAGATTACTAACATCAAGAGCTTTCTGAATTTGTTCTTGTTGTTTCTCTCTAAATGCATCACAACACATACACGATGATCCAATAAGATTAACCAAACTACTAGCATTGATGAAGAAATTGGCAACATCCTCATTTTCCTTTGCCACGAATACAAGAGCTAGTTGGAGTTGGTGTGCAAAACAATGAATATAAAATGCTTGAGGGTATTTGTTCAAAATCTTTGTTTTAAGACCATTTAATTCACCTCTCATATTACTAGCTCCATTATAGCTTTGTCCTCGTAACATGGACATACTCAAATTTGTTGTAGCAAACAATCTCTTAATGGCATCTTCAAACGAGCTACTAGTTGTAGAGGAGACATGTTGGACACCCAAAAACTTTTCAATTGCTTCTCCTCTTTTGTTCACATAACGCAATACCACCGCCATTTGCTCTTTAGTTGAAGTATCACGTGATCCATCAACCAAGAGACAAAAAAAATGTACCTTTCATATCTTTAGTGATTGCATTAATAGTTTCAATAGCACAAGCATGAACAAGATCCTTTTGAATATTGGAAGAAATATACTTGAGATTCTTGGGAGCATTCTCAAACACAACTTTCCTAACTTTCTCATTATGATCGGCAAGAAATTGCATAAGCTTCATATAATTACCCTTATTGCTTGATTTCAAAGATTCATTGTGCCCACGAAAAGCCAAACCCTGTCGCAATAACCATCTTGTGCAATCAAGTGCTCCACTCTGTAAAGTGTGATAATTAACACGAGCTTCATCAGTTTGCTTGATCACAAATGTTTCAATGTGTTGTTTTTGTGTCTTTAGCTTGTTGCATAGCTTTATTATGAAGACTTCCAACATCTCCCTCATGGACTTGAAAAATTTTCGGGTCCTTTCCTCCAATTTGTAAACCCTTTTCGGTGAAGACATCACTTCCACTACCACCCGCTTTATCAAAATCACATTTTAAAAGATAGCAATAATGACAAAATGCAGCATCTTTTACTATACTATACTCCAACCACTTAAAATTATCCAAATAACCTGTGATAAAACATCGATTCTCGCTAGCTTTCCTTGGCATGATGTGAGATTTAGGTTGACAAGGTTCATTTTGGAGGTAGTATCTATGAATTGCTTCGCGATACTTGAGTGGATAATCAAGCATTCGATGTCTCAGTCCAGGGTCTGCAGGAAGATTAACTAATATTTCATCCAATTCAGTAACCTCACTTTGTTGTGCACTACCTGGAATACTCGAAGGATGACTACTTGGAATATTTAAAGGAGGAGTAGGACTACCCGGAATATTTGAAGGAAGAGGAGGACTATCTGGAATATTTGGAAAATGATTTAAGCACTGTTTCTTATAGTATCGTTCCATTACGTAACTGTATAACAAAAGAAAAAAAAAATATCTTAGACTCTTAATCCTAAAGTAGACTACAAATTTAATTAATCAGTACCAACAATCATATGAATAATCAAGAATTCAATTTTCATAGTATTCATTAAAAAAAAAAACATAGTATTCAATTTTTATATACTTCAAAAAAAAAAAAAAAAATCAATAATCATAGTATTCATATGAATAATCTATAATCAATAACCATATAATGTATTACCCTGTAATCCTATATCAATTAAACAAAAAATTGTATTCAATAATCAATTAGGGTTTGAAAAAAATTAAAATTTGACCTTAATTGAAGCGGCTGGCGTGGTGTGCGTGGCAAGTTGCGTCTAGACTATAGAGCTTGATCTTGGTGGCCAATCAACGCAACTGGGATGGCTACTTTGTGTTCCTGGGATCTGGAACAATTTTGAAAAATGAAATCTGGGGCCCTGGGGGTTTTGTCGTGTGGGGGAGAAAGGGGGTAATGGTGGGGGGATAGGATTGGTTATCTGGAAAAAGAGCGGGTGGGGTTTAATTGAAACGGGGTGGGATTGGGATGGGGATGGGGACCAGTGGTCCTCGTTTATTATTTTATTATTATTTGATAATCCCCCAAAACGATGTCGTTTACCAAAAAATTTAATTTTTTTTACCAGCCCAAAACGACATCGTTTTGGCCTAGATTTTAAAATTAAAAAAAAAAAAAAAAAAACCCTACGTGCGTAGGTTTCTGGTTTTAGAACCACCGTGGCACGTGCATCCTAGTTTCCGACCAAACTAGAGGAGTTCAAGTGTCCCTCCTGCCTTTGTTTTCGGCGAGCAGAGGGGCGGCCGCCCCCTTCGCTCCTATGTAGCTTTGACCTTGTTGATGATAAAGGGTTAATTGGCTAATTTCAAATAGTTCAAGGAGTAGTTGACTAAAAAATAGTTTAGAAGTCAATTTCAACTAGCGTAATAATTTAGATGGTCAAACGAGGTTACTCCAAAGAAAAAGTTCAACAAGTGGTCCTTTACCACAGTGGTGGAAAGGAGTTAAGTCCTTGCATGACGACGTGGGTACAAACCCCGTCGATAGCTAATCTAACACTTAATTTAATAAAAATCTATCGTTCGACAAAAAAAAAAAAAAAAAATGTGATCGTCTTCAAGTAGATATGGCCTCATGCATTTCCGGAACTTCCAAACATTGGGCTTTATGTTGTAAAATCGACTATGTGTGTACAGTGGAATAAATAAAAAGACACAAAATTTACGAGGTTCCTCTACAGTCAGTGTGACTGGAGTACGTCCTCGGGTAGCAATGATGCTTTTATTATAAATAGGAGTACAAAGATAACTCTATGTATTCTCTCCTCTTCTCTTCCTCTCTTTCTTTTTTCTGCTCTCTCTTCGAAGCATACGGAGTGCTCTATTTATAGAGCAACTCCAAGCACACATCTTTGACAAATGATCTCCACATATCAATATTTTGCCAAGGTTTTCAACCCTTTGGCAACGTTTTCAATGTTGTGGCAGGTATTCAATACTGTGGGCATTCATTACCCACTAGTATTTTCAACACTCCCCCTTGGATGCCCACATATCAACATGAGTTGCCTCGTTAAGATCTTGATCTATTTTGGATGCTCCCCCTTGATGAGTATCTCCCCCTGATTTCAAAATATTTAAGCTGATCATTGATCCTGCTGCTTTAGTCTTTTAGCGGTGATAGTTGCCGAAAGAGGTGTTTCACTTGTTGTTAACTTTCCACAGACTTGTTCTTGAACTGGGTTGGAGGGCCTTTCTGCTAGACTTCCTCCAAAGATCTGAATTTACCTATTTTATCTGGAGCTGAATTTGATTCAAGGGTGGTGGACACTTGATCTTGAATCGGACTTGTGATTTCTTCAAAGGTCGTCCAGGCTTGATCTTGAATGAAATTGGATCATGAGGAGCTTCATGTGACAAGTGATCTTAGGCTTTGTCGAGGATGAACTGACATGTGTTTGTTGTGGTTGTCTCCACATGCTTCAATATATCATTTTCACTTGCCTTACTTGCTCTCCTTGCAGAAGTGATATTTTCCTTATGCAGGTTTGGCATCTTCTCTTGTAGTATTTGTCATCTGATACAGGAGTGGAATGCAAACCTTGTATTTGAATGGACCATCACTTCTTGGTGGCAACGCAAGTTTGAGTGGAGGTTCCGACATATTGCTTTCTTTATCCTTGTCTTGGCAGGTAAGAACAAGGACAAAGGAAAGGACAGGGAGATTGCATGATATGAGATACTCTTGCTCTCGTCCCTGATGATATGAGATACTCTTACTCTGGTGTGACTTGTTTGTAGAGGTATTCTCAGAGAGGGGGGAAACTGAGTATTTCGACATACTTTGTGAAAGATGCATTCTCGGAGATGAGGAAGAGTTAGATATTTTTCAGTTCTGCCTTGCCGTGGAGGACAAAGGTTGACATATATATTGATTTTCCAATAGCAGGTAGTAAAGCTGTGCCTTTACTCTTGTCAGCAACTGTGGTGTAATTAGAACAGTAAGATTCACGCGTTTTCAACTTTATCAGAAATCTTTGACAAAGTTGCACGTGATATCCAAGAGCTGAGATTGCGTCTGAGAAATGTTGACAGACGTCATACAGGGAAATCCAGCTTTTGAGATTCGAAAATCGGTGTCTCTTCAATTTTTTGAATAAGTGGTCCTGTTGCCCCTCCTATTATAGAGAGATCAATTTTGTTGAGAAACACTCAAAAAAATTGTTGCCTGCAGAAATTTCCCTTTCTTGCACTTCTGAGATTTTATTTGACTTCCTTCATCATTTCTGAAAATGGCTTGCCCATCTAACATTTGTTTAGATTTGAGTCTCAGGATTGATACAGACGAGCAGCATCAGGATAACATATGGCGCCCGTCCTTCTCAACTTCTAATGGTCCTCTTACGGTTGGGGACTCTGTGATGAAGAATAACATAACTGCTACAGTGGTAGCCAGAAATCTTCTCACTCCAAAGGACAACAGAATCCTTTCAAACCGGTCTGATGAGGCGGCCGTTCAAGACTCATTGGCTCTCAGTGTTCAATGTGCGGGTTCTGTATCCAATATGGGACAGCGCCTACTTGCTCGAACTCACCAAGTTGAATCATTAATGGCTGAGGTGGCAAGTCTTAAACAAGAGATTAGAGGGCTCAAGCATGAGAATAGAGTGTTACACATGCTTGCAAATAATTACTCTACGAGCATGAAAAGAAAGCTCGACCAGCTACTGGAATCCGAAGGTCGGACTCAAAATGACAATCGGGGGTTCGAGTCTTTATTCCAAAGACATCCATTGTCTTAGCTGTCTGGAGTTCCACCAAGTATTGAGACTCCAAATAATCAACTTCTGGTGTTTTCCCCTTCTAGGGTACTTCCGAGTACTGAGGCTTCACATGAGTAACCTTTGTGAAGGTTCCCTTCTGTTTGTTTGTTTTAACTCATGTGTATGTAATTTCTCGGAGATATTAATATATAAGCTTTATTTCATTCAGTGTATTGTGTTAAATACAATAAAGCATATATTTCACTAAGATGTGGTACTTCTGGACCAAATATCAATTTATCTTTACCCTCGCGAAGATAAATGATCATTCTTAGTGTCTAAATCATTTGAGTATTCAACTCATAATCTTCAATCCATACGATTCTTTAATGTCATAAATATCATGGATAAGATTCGTGTTGGCATATTGTTCGATTCTGCAGTTCGAGACAATATTTCTCTCAACACTTTATAATCTTTCTTGACTCTTCAGGAGTCCCAATTTAATATCATCAACTCTTGCAAGAGATTTTAGTATGTTGCAACAATACCATAATGAAAATACTCACTAAGGCAATTTATACCATCCATTGGTATTGAGTACATATTTTATGCTTTACCCTTATGGGGTTTTCTTCAAGCAATTTGAATCCTTCAGGGATTTTCTACATTTCATGACACATTTTCCTTTAGAATTTATACAGAGCAATTCGCTTCCATGTATATTTGAGGGATTTACTCATGGAGATATTATGTGGGCGACTCATAACCCTTTGTATATAATTCTCCATTCATATGAACTCCTTTACAACCTTGTGTCATATCATGTGAATGTATTTCACAGTATTACAAATGCCCATATGTAACATCCTTTGGCTATTTGTATTGTATCCAAGTATATAGGTCTATTTTTCCACGTTCTTACAAAATTGTAATGGATTTGCCTTTATCCATTTTTAGCCCATAATTTTGTTGATGGAAAAAGAACGGGACTCAATATCACCACAGCTCATTGATGAATTTAGTAGCTACTTGTAAGAACCAAAATTACCATTGGTTATCATCAATATGTGATCCCATATTCTCATATGCATGCGCATGCATAAAAGCTTTTCATTTCTTTTGGGATATCCATTGCCTCTTCAAGGGCATTACACTATCTCTTCCAGGATAGTTATAATTTAGAGAATACAGATCATAACCTCCTCTTGAGCGTTATAGAGCTTGGATTTTTAATCTCCACTTCGGGAGTTAAGTCATTGGAACTTATACGTTTATCATGCTTCATGCATGAGACATCAATATTCCCATATCCGCGGATTAACCTTTTCGGGACAAGTATCCTTGCGGCAACTGTTATGCATTTGGCATGTGACAGTTATGCAATAGTTCAGTAGTGCCATATTCTTCTTCTTTCGAAGGACTGAACCTTTTGAGTCTGAGGATCTGCCACGCTTCAGGCGTGCAACAGATAAATCATTTGCTGCCATATTATTTTGTTCAATAGGGACATTAATTCTTGTAGGCACACTTGCAGCAAGTATATGTGATTTTATCATTTTCGTTGCATCATTAAATGCATTTGGCATTTGATTTGCATATCGTTGCATCATTCAATTATTCTCACTTTGTTTTGTATATTGATTGCTTCATGAATCAAAATACGACAAATTCTCTTCGTTCTTCTGGAACGGTTTT